CTGAAGGGTTCCAGGTTCGTTTCCGGTCAAGGGCACATGCCTGGGTTGTGGGCTCGATCCCCAGTACACCAAAAGATGTAGAACATAAAAACTGGCTGATGTGATGTCTTAGGACAGCAGTTCTCAACTTGTGGGTCGCGACCCCTTTGGCGGTCGAACGACCCTTTCACAGGGGTCGCCTAAGACCATCCTGCATATCAGATATTTACATTATGTTTCATAACAGTAGCAACATTACAGTTACGAAGTAGCAACAAAAATAATTGTATGGTTGGGTCACAACATGAGGAACTGTATTTAAAGGGCCAGAAGGTTGAGAACCATTGTTTAGGATCTTTCTAGCTCCTTTAAGCTCTCATTGTATTTAAACAGTACATCTCAACTGAATCCTCTTTGTCTTTTATGTCATTTAGATATGCTTTCTGCTGTGAGTAAAAGAAAACTTGACCACAGTGACTTCAGCAAACAAGCTGTTATTTTTTTGACATTAAGATAAATCTTGAGATAGGTGCCTGCTGGGTCAACAAGTGCAGGGTACACATCCTGTGATTTTTTTGGCCTTTAACTTATTGTCACATGTAAGCCATTAAGTCCATAATCAATTCTGGAATGATGCAGATGATGTGGCTTCAGTTGCTTTTGGACCACATTGTGAAGGGGGGAAAAGCTGTCCCAAACACCTTCATCCGATTTCCGTTGTGTCTCTTTGGCCATACGTTGGCCATCCATCACTATCGCAGTGAAATCGGCGTTCAGGAGCACTAGGTTGGATGCAATTCTGAACAAATCAGGATCCTATTAGCAAGCAGAAGGCAGAGTTTGGACACTGAGTATGCAACCAACTGTACCCACCACATTCCTCTGCTTAACAGTTTGTCTTTTCATGTCGATCTATTTGTGTATTTAATTATGCTTTGCACAAGCCAGTTCCTTCCATCTTTTCATGATCTTTCTCAGATGAGATTCCTCTGTGTAATCTCTTCCAACAGCTCCATTGGAATCGGGTTTTTGCTCCATGTGGCCTGTGTTAAATGTCTGGTGCTCATTTTTGATTTCAGGGTCCCTTTGGGGATGGACAGAATTATGGAATTTGTATCTTTAAGGGTACCCAAAAGCCTGGAAAAGAGGAAATGATTTATTGAACTGCATGTGCATGTGCCTACCTATATTGTACTAGTGTCATCTCTAAAATTATTTAGTCATAATTAGGTAAAGTTTAGTTACTAGTTTGAATTAACATTCTTAACTTCTAAGTTGATTTTTTGATTAACTAGTTATTAACTGATAGAATTCAAGTTACAATCAGAAATCCTTGGCTGTAGTGGTGTAGCTAAGAAGTATTATATGACTGTCTTTTCTTTAAGTATCACATATCATTTATAATAGTAACAAAAAGTGATTGACTGTTTAATGAATACCTTTATGCTAAATGTTGTAAAAACCATAACAGCCCCAAATAAAAGCACATAGATAAACTTACCAGCAAACAAAACAACAAAGCAACTTAATCTTGAAAGACTCAGTAATGCCCCCTTGCAAATTTAAAGTCACTTTAATGATGACCTAAATTGAAACCAGAAGTTAAGTGCATAGTTTGTTTATACTTTGTATCATTTTCTGTGAGGTAGTATAACAGGAGACATAAGTAGAATTTTCTACAGACAATGCCTACAGACAATGTTCAAAACTTTTTAATCCCAACCCATGTTTGGTTAGGGCAGTGAAATTTAATTTACTGGTTCTCACTGTGGCCCCTAAAGTTGTTCAATTTAATGTAACCTCATCCTAGAGCAACCCTTCTTAGTAGAATCTGGAAACCAACAAGACTGAATTAATGATTGCTATCATTTTAAGTTATTCTAATTGTTTGTTTTGGCCGTGTATTTCCCGAGAGCCTTCCTAGGAGGAAGATGTACTATTATGGATACCATGGGTTACCTTTCAAAATGCATTTATTATAAAAGTTAATATTTGTCCACACAGATATTAGTTAAATGCAAATATCTTGTTATTTGCAATATGAAGTTTATATGAGATAATTCTTCAATTCAATGATAAAGATAATCTATAAGGACTATTTTATATCTAAGTACTTTAAGTAATACAATTTCAGTGTAGCACTGAAATTGAGTTTATAGATTCAAGAAATTACTGATGTCCAAAGATGCTCTGAAGGAAACTTTAAACATTTGGACCCCAAATTCCTTCATCAAAGGAATGTCAAAGAACTTCTTGTTGGGATTTCCACCATGAATTTAGTTCTCAGTGGTTGAGCTTTGACCTATGAACCAGGAGGTCATGGGTTCATTCCCATTCAGGGCACATGCCTCCTTTGAGGGTCGATTCCCAGTAGGGGGCATGCAGGAGGCAGCCAATCAATGATTCTCTCTCATCATTGTATCTATCTCTCCCTCCTTCTCCCTTCCTCTCTGAAATTAATAAAAAATATAAAAAATAAACAAAATAAAAACCTTTAATCTAATAACAATTCACAAGTATGTCAGTTTAAATAAAAATTGCACCGCCCTATGTTTGAGATATGCAAAAGGAAATATATTTATTTAAATAGAAATTGTACCTCCTTATGTATTTGAGATATAGACAGGAACTATATTTCACTCTTTATTTTAGGCCATTACCATATAATTAATAAGTAATAATAAAAGAATGAAGTCCGTGTTTCACATGCTCACAATGACAGTGCTAACTGTAGTGCAGATCGTGTACACATTGCATCATGTTTTAAAAGGGAATGGCTACATGATGACATGGCTTTGCTTTATTTTCTCCACAAATATTCCAATGCCAAGTAAAGCTGTGAAAACATGAGCTGGAAATTTCATCACACCCTGGTGCCAAAATAATCTAAATCTTGTGGGGGTGTGTTTTTTTCTTTAACATTTGGTGCAAATTCAAATGTATATGTGGAGAAACTACACTGGGCCATGTTATTTGCTTCTGTAAAGGCTGGAAGGAAAAATGAATTTTGATTCAGAGTGAATGCATGCCCTAACATCCTAAACTCTGTTTAACAAATTTTTAAAAACGTGTTTTCAAAATAATTACAGAAGTTTAAAAGAGTTATTTTGTTTGTAGCTTGTCAACCCGGTTTCTACAAGGCTGCGGACGGTAACACGAAGTGCGCTAAGTGCCCACCTCACAGTTCTACTCAGGAAGATGGTTCAATGAACTGCAGGTGTGAGAATAATTACTTCCGAGCAGACAAAGACCCTCCATCCATGGCTTGTACCCGTGAGTAGTTTTGCTGCAACCCATGCATCCATGTTTGTTTTATTTTGTTTTTTTTATTGTGTTATTGTTGGTTTTTTGCTTCTTGTATTTTGTTTGTTTGTTTTTAAGCATTTGGCCCATTTACTTGTGCTACCCATGTGCAAATTAAAAGCTTTCTCTGCTTCACTCTCCATGCTTGGCTCACCACAAATGCAACATTTATCACATGAATTAATTCATAAAGCACCTACTACAACAGGACCCAAAAACTCTCTGTATCTTGTTTTAGATTTTGCTTCTTATTAGACAGGATAGGGGAGATTGTAAGCATGGGATTTGCATGTTTGCATTTCGATTCTCTCTTGCTACATGTTGGTCATAGGTCATCAGGAAGAGGACTAAGATTTATAAAAGTAACACTACAGATTTCATAACTATTCACAAGGGCATTGAGTTTAATGGTAAATACCTTTGTTGGACTTTCTGAATGCATATTCAACCTTGAGTCACATCTCCCTCACCCATAGCTTGGAGAGAACAGTGCTCTTGAATCCATGTCTATAATCTCAGGAATTCTCTAAGGACAAATTAAAATATGTAATAAAGACAAGAT